CTCATAATCATGATTGACCATGTATGTGTCCAAAAAATATTTGAAGAACTCTATTCATAATCAAGTAACATAATGTAGTAGGCACTCCCAATATAGACCTTGTGTTATTCTTTCTGTAGCAAATAAACTCTCAACTCAGTACAATTTAAAAATGTACAATTGCAAAACATGGAATAAATTAAAATTTAAATAAATTATCATATTCCTTAGTGAGAAGAAGTATGAAGATTATATATTGAAACTTAGAAAACAAATAAGAGTTTAACTGAATAGGTTATTTTTGCTTTTAACCTCTTATTTCTGCATGTAACACCAAAATCATTAAAAGTGTGTTATAATGATGTATAGAAGCCATCTTTGCACTCCTATATTTCACACATAGATACACATATATACTCACAGTGTGTAAAGATTTTTTTTATTTATGTATATATTTATTGGTACATTTTAGGTTCTATAGTGTCTTTTGAAATTATGGGGCAACTATATTTACACACCCAATTTTAATAATATTTCAGTTATCAAAGACTATACAAAGAATTAACAATTTTAATCAAGATTATTTTCTCTAATGGAGCTATTATTTGAATGAAGAACACATATATGGACTTGGTTTGAAAATCAAGAGTCCAGCATAATTCTGTGAGACAGCATCTAACTAGGGTTGTACAACGTGTGTGCTTGACTTCTTGTGATGAGTTGCTCATTGTATACTTCTTGGTTTATGTCACATTAATTTTCCAGACATGAGTTTTTGAACCAGTTCACTTTCTCAATCTTGGTTCAGCATCTGAGTCAATGAAGTAAGAAGAGTTCTCTGAGTAAGAAAACTATCATTTTTTACACTGAAAACTCTTGCTATGACCTTTAAACCTAGTGTTTGCTTTGTTGTGAGCCCTAGTTAAATCAGTGCCTTAGCTGTGAGGCATATTGATTATTAATGAGTGAAAAACCATTTGTGAAACAGAGCAGAATGTTAAGCAAATGAATCAACAAATTTTAAATTTAACTTCTCTGTTCCCTAATCTTTGAAAAGAAAATTCTTTCCCTGAACATAGACATTTGGAATTTGTAGCTTTACTCAGAATAATCACATGAGAAATATTTTATCAGTAAGAGGAATATGAGTTTTGTTTGAGATTATTCAGACATGGGTCTGAGTTTCAACATTAACAGGTCTCTGATAATGAACAAATTATATAATTTTAAAAATCCTTTATTGCTTGCATTTACAATTTATTATAAATGAAAAACAAATAATAAAATGGCCCAAGAATTTGTAGAGGCACTTAAGAGAAATAAAGTTTGTAATATACTTAAAAAGGCAAGTTTTACATGTTAGGTGCCAAAATAATGTTTTCTTCTCCTGTAAGTATCAGGAAAGAAAAAAAATCAGTTATGTAAGCAGACTGACTTGAAGAACAAATAATAATAATAATATAGTGATAAAACTATGTTAAAATAATTATTTTCAACTTTCCCTCTAATCACTTTCTCTTTCCTTCTTTGGCCAACTTTCTATATTTTCTTACTTGTCTGACTTTTAGTATTCTAACCTTTCTATTTACACAGATAATTTGGTTATCTGCTTAAAAATATTTTTAAGCATAGGTATGAGTTTTTAGATCAAAATGTACTCATGATAGTTTATGGATAATTTAGCCTCTTGAAAGGTATTTTTACATCTAGTGGTAAAAACAAACAGAGGAATCAACAAAATTTAGAAGCATCTCATTAGTGCTCAAATTAAAAGCAACAAGTTGATATTAATCAGTCATCACTAAAATTTTCCTTGCAATTGGACTCTACTACTTACTTGTGTAGATAAAATTTATAAAAAAGAAATATTTAAAAGAATAACTCAAGGACAATGTTCAATTATGGGATATAGTGAGATAACTACAATAATGAACCCTTAACTTTGAGATGCAGAAGAGCAAAAAGTGAATAGCCTCAGGAAAATTTTGCAGGGAGGTAGATTATGCTGTACAAAAGAACTTTCTGTGCTGATGAAGAATACTTGCCTTTTTATCTCTCTGATGTTCTGATCCGATTTTAGACCTGCTGTTATATAAGTAAATTGTAGTGAATCCCATTGGGTTTAAATTTACTTTTATCCCAGTATCTTGGTAGTCACAGTTTTTAGATTGATGAGTTGGACTTTTTATAGAAAGGACATGTGTCTGTTTTTCATTACTATAGTGAAACACCTGAGACTGAATAATTTTAAGAGGTTTATTTTTTAATTTTGCTTCTGGATGTCTGAGGCTCAGGGGCTATGTTTGGTGATGACCTTGCTGGTTAGTGTCCCAAAGCAGTGCAGGACATAGCAGCACAAGAAGCAGTATGTATGTGGTAGTCTTTGGTCTCTTCATCTTTAAAAAACCATCAGTATTCAATGATGGGGGCTCTACTCTGATGGCTTTATCTCATCCTAATCACTTTCTGATGTCTTCATCTCATCTTCATAGAGGGCTTAAGTTTCCATCTTCTTAATACCTCCCAATGGGTATAAAATTTCAACATATGAACCCTTTAGAAGGGGCACACTCAAAACATATCCAAAGCACACAGTATCAGATGCCTCCTTCTTCACACCTCCTATCCACTTATGTTAGAAAAGGTCTGAAGAACTGAAGTTAGAAGCAAAGACCACACCACCTCCAAGATATCTCACTTGTAAAATTATTTCAGAGACCTCCGGGGAAAAAAATGACCTCAGAAATAACTAAGTTTTGATTACAATAAGAAAGTGAAGTGAATGCTCAGGGAATATGAAAAGTGGTTTTTCTATCATTTAAGTTATTTAACAAATTTAGCTGTAAGTCAGAGAAAGATGAGTCAGGGGAGGATTATTTCTACCAAGTAATTTTCCATCAAACACTCTAAAACTGCATAAAAGACTGAGCCCAAAAAGAATGATATGATAAATATTGATTATTTATTTTCCCAAGAGGGAACAATTAGGAATAATTCCATTAAACTCTAATCATGTTTGTATCATTGACCACCAGAAGTTCAGTCTTCAAAGGTCATCCATCATCGTGTGCACACTTACGCTTGCAGTCTCTATACGTTCCTCCACTAATGTGACCCAATACCCTATTGCTCATAAATTCAGTGAACATTTTTGTAAACTCATGGGGATTTCCCTTCAATCATCAACAGAATTGCTTACCCACTCACCATAGTTCCTGAGCATTCAGTTCACTTTCTTATTGTAATCAGAACATAGTTATTTCTGAGGAAACTTCTTTCCCTGAAGATCTGTCAAGAAGAAAACAGTGTTTCTCTATCATTCTACAAATGAGACATCTTGGAAGTGGTGTGGTTATTGCTCCTTCTGGAATATAAGTATCGGTCCTAGATCCTCAATTAGCCTAGCTACATTGAAGTTCATGCCATTAGTTATGCCAATTGTTATCCCTCCTTGTGTGGATGTTTTTCATATTTACTGTCAGTCTCTTTTGCTCATTGAAATTTAAGCAATGGGTTCATTGACTTCTGTTTCTAACCTCACTGCTTTTATCATTATCTGAAATACCGAATTACAAATAGAAAGTTTATCCAACATATAGATGCTTAGTTTCTTAACCTCACTTTAAGTAATTTTCCAAACTCAAGTACATAATTAAGTTATTACACACTAAAACTTGGCACTAACTGTAACAATATATTCAGCTTTAACCATCTCACTGACCAAAGATTTTTTTCATTTCAAATCTCTCGTGTTCCATGCCAACAACCCTTTGAACCCATTTAAACCACCTGTCCATTGGCCATCCTATCACTTTTTCATCATGCATATCAATCACTTAATGTCTTTATTTTCCTCCTCATCCAATTTAAGTCAATGGTCAGTCACTGTTACTCTCCAGTCTTTATTCTCAACTCCATTACACATACTTTCCTCTTGTTGGAAAAATCCTATGATTAAACTCAACTTTCTGCTGAAGCCTATCTGGCGAAAAACACAAAATTGCCCATTGTTCTCTTTTAACTTACATTTCAGTGTGAAGTTGATTCTTCCTACGAGTCCAGCAATCATGTTACTCTCACTCTTCCTATCTCAAATGAGTCTTTCAAATCTGTATACTATCTCTTCAAATCTCAAGTATGTACTTTTGTTTCACCTAGTAACTTAAATTTTTTTAACTTCAGTGAGGACAAAAGCAATTAGAAGAGAAGTCACTTATTTCTCCTCCATTAAAATCTAGCAAACATTCTGTTCCTGTGAACATTGACCACTTTGTAGTACATGAACTATTTTCCTAAGGGTGAGCCCTCTACCACAGACCTGACATCTTTTTCTGCTTCCTATACAATGCTCTTACTCATAATTCATGTTTCATAAAATATCTTTTTTATACATTTTTGTCTATACTGTGTCTTCGCAATCAGTTTGAAATTCATGGGTTACTGAGCACTGGAACAAGATGAGAATCAGTTAAATTGCTACATTTGCTGCATAGTATGTGGTCATCCTTTGTGATATTACAAACCCTAAATATTCTGATTTATAAATAAAAACAATAGTTTTATCTGTCTTCCTCATAAGAGGGTTGAGAATAATATATGATTTAACATTGTAAAGCTTGTACAGTAGTGCATGAAATCTAGTAAGTACCCAGGAAGTGTGTTATCCATCATTAAAAACAAAACTATGAAGCAAACCTTTCTCAATATAATGTACTCCTCCAGATACAAATTTATTTACTCTGTATAGTAACACAACATATAGAAAATGTGTTTTTTCTTCCCTTCTCTACTCTCATACGTTCCATTTTATCTTTTGCACACTGAAATTGTGTTTCCATCCTCACACACTTCTGAAGGTATCTATATGCAAGTTAAATGTATCTTTCTTGTAAAATACAATGTACAGTTATCAGTTTTTATCTCATGCATTTGAAACATGTTCTTCACTTGGCTTCTAGAATAATACACACAACTGTTTTTTTCTTTATTTACTTGCTGCTCTCTCTCAGCTATGTTCACACTATTCTTCTTTCCAACCTTAGAATGTTAAAATTCCTCAGGATTGAGTCTTTGCCATTTTCTTCTTTTTCTTAATTCATTGCCTTCTGATCTGATCCAGTACTTCCTATCTATACACAGATGTCCCTAAATTCATACTTTTACTCAGAGCCTTTACCTTTTTTATTCAGAGTCCAGACTCATGTATCATCCTACTGGATGCCACCACCTTGATTCTACATATTCTTAATGCCAACTATTCATATCTCCGTCCACAAACTTGGTAAGTAAATGGCACTATCATTTACCACCATTCTTCCATTGTACAAGTAAAAAAAACAATATATCATCTTTAACTTTCTTCATTACATTACTACCATATCTAATATATTATAAAACACTGTAACACTATATTCAGAATACATTCAAAAGGTGGTCTCTTCTGATCCCCAACATCAGTCACACTTAGATAAGCCTCCAGCCTTAGTCCTTTAGCCAGTTTGAGGATTTTCCAGTATAGCCTCCTGGAAAATCTACTTTGCAACCTCTGGCTCCATTACTGTTAATTATTCACATAGCAGGCACTAGTGGAATCTTTTTAGAGAATATGTGTTATTTTCTGTTCAATTAATTTCTAAAAAATATAGCAAATGTGCTGTAGATTTTCCTATTTTTCTGAAATCATACTTTAATATTTTCTCCAAGTCACTCATGCCCGTGGAGTATGTATTATTATTACTCTTGAGGACTTTACAGTTGTTTTTCTCTGCCTGGAATATTTTTCATCAGCTATCACAAGTCTTTCTCCTTCACAATATTCAAGTTTTTGCTCCATAATCCCTTCCTTTAAAGTCTCCTCTCACTACCCTATCTAAAATAGTGTCTGTGTTTATTATCTCTTATTCTGCACAGTTTTATTTTTCTTCAGAGCCCTAGTGACTAAAAATCATAGTGCTTGGCAATGTATTAGTTTATTGCAATCAGTTTGCTCTATGAAAGCGAAAGTTACATGAGGATGTGCTGTTTTATGTGCCTCATTGTTTTTCTCCATTTAGTAGGGGCCAAATAAGTATTTAGAGAGTAAATAAATTTTGACATCAAGCATAGTAAATAATAAAAACATGTTTTTAATGTGGTTCATTAAAAGATGAATATTTGCGCAAATAAATTTATCTGGTTCACTAGTGATGTTGCTTGTTTAGATGAGAGACTAGGGCTAAGACTGTTGCATATTGATATCCTCATTGTCTCATTTGTGGCCTAGTTCAGAGTGACTTTTGATAAATGAAGAAAGAAAACAAAGTCCCAAGTTAATTGACTTATACTACTGACCATGTATCACTATAAAATTTATGCTGCACTAGAGAAAAGAGGGCCCACAGAACAATATCTAACATGACAGGTAACAATCTTTGTTACTAGGATAGTATGGAAGGTAGTAGCATTTAATAGAAAGTAAGAGAAGCTGTGTTTTCTTCAATTAGAATTTAATCCAGAGAAAGTTTAAGAGATGGGTAAATGGAGATTAGACATTGTCTTTTTTAAACCAGAAAGCTGATATGACTAATAACAATGGGATTTCAAATACTGAAACTCAGAATTATCTGGATTTTTTGTTCATATTCAGAATGAAGAAATACAGACTTCCATCTTGGATTACCACCCTGCCAAAAGTCTGACGAGGGATTGCATTATATATTTCCTGCATCCAAGTGACTCAATGACCAACCAATTCTTACTAAAGAATTTCCCATCTGGAATTCAGTTCTCTTCCTCTGGGAGGCTGAGAATGAAGTACTGGAGGAAGCTCAACAGCTTTTACACTAATGAATATAACTCTTCATGGAAGCACAAAGAAGGAATATGAAGGTTTCCTTCCAAATAGGTGCCAAATTGTGGAAGATAGAATGATTTTCTGGCCTCCAGAACCCAGAGATCAAGTAAAGATTCAATGAATCTGAGGTGAACTGACTAGTATGTAGAAAAGTTTTAATATCCGAGAGGTATGAGCAAGTCCAGATAACCCTAGGAATTGTTATATTATGGGATATGGACCTATTGTTTTGGAGAAGACTCTATATCCCAGTTATATTTATCATCACAATAAAACTGCAGTGCAAACACCAGAGAACAGCCACACAATTTTGGTGGTAATCAGGCAATAATTGTTCATTGTTCATGCACCTGTAATTAAGATTGGGTCAGCTAAGGGGCTCTTTTGACCTTGGCTTTGTTTGCTCAGATACTTGGAATTCAGTTGGCTATAAGCTAAAGTAGGCTGGCCTCCATTGGAGGAGCCAAAACAACTTGACATTTTTCATGTTCTATTTATGCCCAGTGGCCTAGGCTAACTTCTGAGCATGACATACACAAAATGGTATATTTGTATATTTGGAATATTGTGAAATACATATTTGATTGTCATCTTCATTTCCTGGCATACACCTCCAAAATTCCTTAGATTCATCCTAATAATAGGATATCAAGTTGACTGATGACTGGCAACTCTTAAGTAGCCTTAAGATGGAAGCTGGTCACCAAAGAGACCAAGCGAGATTAGAGGATGAGGACTTTCTGCTCCTCCCTCCAAAATCCAGGGAGAAAAGTGGGACTGAAGGCTAAGTTGAGGTTTAATAGTCAATGATTTAGTAAATCAACAATGTCTAAATAATGAAGTCTTAATTAAATTTACAAGGATAGGATTCAGAGAGGCTATGAATAGCTGTACCTACAGAGTTTGATGAAGGATGGTGTAGCCAGAAGAGAGTATGGAGGCCTCATGCCCCTTCCCCTACACCTTGACTCACTTATCTCTATGTGGATATCCTTTGTAATAGCCTTGTAATAAACTAGAGAACATAAGTTAGTGCTCCCTTGGGTTCTGTGATCTGCTTCTGCAAATTAAACCTAAGGAGAGAGTTGTGAGACTATTTAAAAAGGAACACCTTGGAAATATTTTGAGTTTGTTTCCAGATCACCATGATAAAGTGAATCTTAAAAAAATAAGTCATACACATTTTTTGGTTTCCCAGTATGTACAAAAATTACATGTATATCATTCTGTACTCTAAGCATGCAAAATAGTTATGTCTAAATAATATTTTATATACATCAATTAAAAATATTTTATTATGAAAAATGCTAATCATCTCACCATCAGTAGGTTATAATAGTCATAAGGGTGGAGGGTCTTGAGTTGATGTTGATGTCTAATGGTTGATCAGGCTGCTAGTTGCTGAAAGTGAGTGTGGCTGTGGTAATTTCTTAAAATAAGACAGCACTAATGTTTGCATTGTTTGATTTTTCCCTTCACTAAAGATTTCTCTGTAATATTAAATGCTACAATTCACTCACATCTATAGGATCCACTTCTCATGCTCTTTCTATTTCTGTCACTTAGTTCAGTTACTTCTACCACTACCATGAGCCTCTCAAGGTCCTCCAGGAGGCTTAGAATCAACTTCTTCCAAGCTCAGTTTCTGTTGATATTTTGACCTTTATCTTAAATTTTCTTACTGTTATCTAGAATGATTAATATTTTCCAGAATATTTTTTGCAATCCATCAGAGAAAATATATCTATAACATCTGTAGTCTTATAAAACATACGTCTTAAATACTAAGATTTAATTTAAAAATTGATTCATGAGCTACAGAATGGATGTTATGTTGCCAGGCAAGAAGACAACACGGATCTCATGGCACATCTACATTAGAGCTCTTAGGATATCAGGTGCATTGTCAATGAGCAGTAATATTTTGATAGGAAAAAAATTTTCTGAGCAGTTACACTCAATAGTGAGCTTAAAATATTCAATAAATCATGTTGTAAACAGATATGCTGTCCTTCAAGCTTAGTTGTTCCATTTGTACTAGAAGGGTAGGTTTAGCATAATTCTTAGTGTTCTAGAATTTTCAGAATGCTAAATAAGCATTATTAGCTTCAAGTTGAAGTCACTAACTGCATTGTACTCTAAGCAGATTGTCAGCTTATCCTTTGAAGCTTAGAAGCTAGACATTGACTTTTATTCTCAAACAGTAAAAATCCTAGCTGGCATATCTTTCAATTATAAGGCCGTTTTGTTTGCATTAAAAAACTGTTGTTCAGTATAGCCATCTTCATCAATGAGCTAGGTAGATCTGGATAACTTGCAGCTCTTATATCTGCTGCTTCACCTTGCACTTTGATGTGACAGAAATGACTTCTTTCTTTAAACATCAAGAGCCAATAGGTGCAAAGTTTGAGGTTTTTTTCTTATGGCTTCACTCAACCTTCATAGAATTTTAAAAACTTACAACATTGCTCTGTAGCTTTAGCTTTGGGTAATGTGTCTGCTTTCATATTCTATCTCAACCACACAACTTTCTAAATATTACCAATAAAGCTGATTTCCCTTCTCACCATTCATATGTTCACAGCAGGAGCACTTTTAATTTCCTTCAGAACACCTCCTTTGCATTCTTAACTTGGATAAATAGCACACAAGGCTTAGCTTTTAGCCAATCATAGCTTTTGACATATATTTCTCACTAAATTTAATCATTTTTAGCTTATGTTTCAAAGTGAGAGATGTGAGCTTCTTCCTTTTACTTGGACACTTAGAGCCAGTGTAAGGTTATGAACTAGTCTTTTTTTCAATATCTGTGACTCAGAGAAGAGGGAGGTCAGGGCAGGAGGATAGAGATGGTAGAATATCCAGGCAGAGGAATAGTCAGAACACATACATTTATTAAGTTCATTGTGTTCTGTAAGCAGTTTGTGATATCCCAGGGCAATTGCAATGGTAATATTCAAAGACCAGTGATTGAAAATAATTACAACAGATTCAGTAATGATGAAAAGCTTGAGTTATTATAAAAATTTCCAAAATGTGATGCTGGGATGTGAAGTGAACATATTTAGGGGCAAATGGTGCTGATGCAGTGTTGCCACAAATCTTCAATTTATAGAATATGTATTATCTGAAAGCATGATAAAATGAAGTATTTTGTTGTCAGTCAGAGCACAGCATCAAGTCACTTACAAAGGTAAACCATTAGAATCAGGGAAGACTTCTCAGTGCCACAATAAAGGCCAATAGAGCTTGGAGTTCAGTGTTTCAAGCCTGAAAAGAAAACAACTTTCAACTAGACTGATATAACCTGGCAAAACTATCCTTCAAGGTTGCTGGAGAAATAAGATATTTTCATGATAAAAAAAAAACAATACCTAAAGAAATTCATGATCACCAAACCATCTCTCCAAAATAATTATCAAGGATCATGTAGAAAGAGAGAATGAAGCTAACAACGACAAAAGGTCTAATAGAATAAATGTACCAGGTAGAAAAATAAAGGAGATCGACAAGAGGAAAATAATACAATGACAGGAATAAGTCAATAACTATTAATAATAACTTTAAATATGAATGATCTCAATTCCTGTGTGGGCCAAGAAAATGGAGAATGTAGAAGAAATAGATAAATTCCTAGAAATATATGAATTACCAAAACTGGATCAAGAAGATTTTAAAACCCTGAATAATCCAATAACAGGCAATGAAATTGAATCAGTAATAAAAAATCTGCCAGCTAAGAAAGCTCAGGTCAGAATGGATTCACTAATAAATTCTACAAGAACTTCAGAGAAGATCTAACTAACATCAATATTTTTCAATCTCTTTCATGAAATTGAAAGGGAAGGAGTACTCCTGAAGTCATGCATGCAAAAGAGCATTATCTGAATCCAAAACTAGACAAGAATCCAACCAAAAAAAGAGAACTATAGGCTAATATCCTTAAAGAATATAGATGCAGAAGTTCTCAAAAAGATACTCATACAATATACAAAAAGTCATCAAGAAGATCATATATCATGACCAAGTAGGGTTCATCCTAGAGATGTAGGATGTTGAACACAAGAAAACCAATAAGTACAATACATCACATAAACAGAATCAAGAAGAAAAATCACATGATCATATCAACAGATGAACAAATAGTTTTTGGCAAAATTCAACATTCATTCATGATACAAACACTGAGAATATATAAAGAACTCAAAAAAATAATCCTCCCAAATAAAAGATCCAACTATAAATGGACAAGTGAAATGAATAGACATTTCTGAGAATACGTACAAATGCTCAACAAATACATGATAAAAACCTGAACAAAATGCGTATGGCAGGACCTGATCTCAATCAAGTAAAAGCCACTTATGATAAACCTACTGGCAACATCATATTAAGTGGGGAAAAAAATGAAAGCCTTCCCTCTAAAATCAAGTACAAGACAGGGATGTTTACTATTACCACTCCTGTTCTACATAGAATTTGAAACATTAGCAAGAGCAATTGGGCAAGGAAAAGAAATAGAACAGATATGGATAGCACAGGAAGAGATCAAAATATTATTATTAGCAGATAGTGTGATCCTCTTCTCAGAAGACCTCAAAAATTCACCAGACACCTATAATTAATAATCAAACTCATCACACTAACAGGATACAAAATCTACACATATAAATCAATAGTGTTCCTGTATATGAATAATAAATTTGCCAAGCAAGAAATTAAGAAATAAATACCACTCATAATAACACCAAGAAAAATTAAATACTTAGAAATTAATCTAAGGAAGTGAAAGACCTCTGCAATGAAAACTACAGTTCTGTGAAAATGAGGATAAAAAGAGGACATCAGAAAATGGAAAGATGTCCCTGCCCCTGAGCAAGCAGAACCAATATAGTCAAAAGGGCTAGACTTCAAAATTGATACACAGATTTAATTAACAGTACTAATCACAATACCAATAGGATCCTTCACAGACCTGTAGAAAACAATCCTGAAATTCACACAGAATCAGAAGAGACCCAGAATAGCAAAAGCAATCCTGGGCAATAAGAGTAAAGTGGAGGCATCACAATCCTTGACCTGAAGTTGTACTACAAAACTACTATGATAAAAGCTGCATGGTACTGGCATAAAAACAGACATGTGGCTTAATGGGAAAAAATAGAGGATGCAGAAACCATCCCAAGAACATTCAATTATATGAACTTTGACAAAGGAACAAAAGCGTACACCGGAGGAAAAATATTCTCTTTAATAGACGGGGCTAGGAAAACTCACTACCACATGTGAAAGATTGAATCTAGAACCGTAACTTTCACCGCTAAATTGAAATTAAAATGTATCAAAGATCTAAATGTTAAAACAAAAATGCAATCTGCTGGAAAATAAAATAGGTAAAACTCTTGAAGTCATAGGCGTAAGCAAGGACTTTCCAGTCTGAAATCCAGGAAATAGTACCGCGAATCAAGTGGGATAACATTAAATTAAAAAGCTTCTCGTAATATTATGGCCTCAATGTGCATCCACTTAGCTATAAATGTCTCTAGTTTCTCGTTCTTTATGGCTGAGTAGTACTCCATATATATATATATATATATAAACACAACCCACATCTTCTTTAACCAGTCTCCAGTTGATGGGCAATTGGGCTGATTCTGAGTTTCAGCTATTACAAACTGTGCCACTATAAACATGGGTGAGCATATACCACTGTGGTATGATTCTTTTAATTCTTTTGGGGAAAAAAATAAGAACCAAGATACATCATGTAAAGGTACAAGATCCTAACGATGAATGTAACTGTACTGTATAACTAAAATGAACCAATAAACTTAATGAAAAAAAATTAAAAGCTTCTGCATAGTAAAAAAAAAAAAAGCGAGCAGAGTGAAACAACAAGCTGCAGAATGGAAAAAAACTTTACCAGCTATTCCTCAGACAGAAGATTAATATCTAGAATATATAAAGAACTCAGAAAAATTACCCCTCCAAGAATACTCAATTAAATATAGACAAATGAAATGAATTGACACTTCTTAGAATAAGTACAAATGGCCAATGATGTTGAACATTTCTTCTCTGAGGAACATGGCCAACATCACTAGCCATATGAGAAATGCAAATTAAAGTAACACTGAGCTAAATCCCTGGCCCTTCTTTGCTTTTTTGCATGACATTTTTTAATCACTGCTTTTTTATCACTGGTTTTAATCACTGATTTTCAGTAATTTGATTATAATGTGTCAGACTATGCTTTTGTTTGTATTTATTCATTTCATTTTTCCTTTTGAAAATGTGACAGTTTTTTATTTGAAGTATTTTGCTCATCCTTCCTTTAACTATTTACCCTCTACTCTAAGGACCCAAGTGGTAACACTTGATATTGTTTCACCCTTCTCTGTTGACTCAAGCTTTGTTTTCACTTTTACCTTTCTTTGAGCTTTATTTTATATAATTTGTATTGATATGCCTTCAGACCTAATGACTTTTTTTCTGTACCTAATATGCTACTAACTGCACCAGGGAATGTTTTTAATTTCAGTAGTTTTCAATTTCCTACTTTCTATTTCACATCTCATCATATTTAGGTTAATATGCTTGAATATATTTCTAAGGTTTGTATTAGATGCTTAAAGTACTTTGGCCAATCCTTCATGTAACATCTGGGTTTGTTTCTATTTTTTTGTGTGTGACATGCAGTTATGTTACCTAGAATAAGTTTGATCCTATTGACATATTTTGTCTACTTTTTATTTAATTTTTAAAACAACCTTTACTCTGGGGCTAATATATATTTATATATTTTATATATTATATACCTCTTCTGAGTACTCTAAGCAGTATAGAATGTGTAACAAAATCTAATGACTCTGGCTGTTAGGGACACAATTTCTGCCCAAGGTGAATTTTAGAAAATTTTTAAACTATTATTTTGTAGTATTTTTCTCTTGGCTTCATGAAATTTTATTACATTTCATATTTCTATTTAATCAAAGGCTCAAGAAAAAATATTTGTGAAACTCCAGAACGTGTGTGTGTGTGTGTGTATGTGTGTGTATTCCCCTCCTGTTGGGTCTTCTACTTCATATGCTTTCACCAAATTCCTAACTGATATTTTATTGTTGTCTCTTAAATTTAGCTGGATTTCTGTGTCCTTTTCCAACTCCCTATTGGTACACTATGATCTGCAAACTGCCATATGAGTATAAATTGGGGAGATTTTTATAATTCATGTGATTGTTTTCTTAATTTTTCAAATCATGTTTCTATTCTACCTATGATCCAATGTGTGGAGTCAATAGTTTAATTTACTTTGTCCAGTCTTATAAAAAATGTGGATAGAAATATAATTTATATAACAGTTAATCTTTCCATGGATAGGACTAAAAATTTAGGTAAGTTTTGATGACAATGAAGAATAAGTCATCCAGTGGAAGGGACATTGTTCTAAGGGAAGAGAGAATTGATTCTGGGAAGCTACGGGATAACAATAAGAGGCATTTAGAAATGCAAGTCAAAAAGACATATTTTACCCGATTTTCCTTGTAGAAATATCCTACTTTGGACATGTCCATCTCCATGTAGAACTATCTAGAGCATTCTGCAAAATTGTACAAGAAATCATTGTTCTAAAATGCTTCTTTCCAAATTCTGAATTGCTCTGGGGCAGCATGTCCAGATTAGGCCTTAGGAAACCTAAAATTTAATTCAGTTTCTACTCCTCCATGCTTTTCTTGCTGCCACTTTTTGAGCCATACTTCAAATGCAGTTTGATCCCTCTCTTCTTCCTATTTCTTCCTCTTTGCATTCAAGGTGTCCAATAATCTTCCGAAGTTTGTTACTACTATGCTTTCTATTACCACCTTTAAACTTACTTGTTCTCTCAAAATATACACATTTGTATAATGATATTCTAAGACCTCTTATACACATATTTTTGAAATGCAACCTCTGAGATGGATATTATCTTCTTAGCATCATGTACCATCTATATATTGAGAATTCCAAGACTGGTACATGAACACTACAAAACGTGGTTCAAGGTTTCTATCCTAAACTTTAGACCTATAAATCTAATTATTTGCTAAACATTTTTACTTAGATAAACCAAATGTATTCCAAAGTGAATCTTTCAACTTTCTTCACAAATTTATTGTTGAAGGCATTGCCTTCTTTCAATGATCAAGATTAGAAAGCAAGGATAAGATGGGCAAGAGATTCATAGGTTTCCTTACAAGCAAACTGATGTCTTTTCCAATGATGAATGCCATAATATTGTATTCCTAAAATGTACTAATAAACTTAATTTTTTAAAGTTTTTACATTGATTACTTTTATATAATTTTTAGAACATTAAAATAAATAGTGAAAAATAAAAAAGAAAGTGCTATCCTATGTCTTGAAAAACAAGCACATCCCAAATGAAATGAGATTCCTGGACTTAAGGGATAATGGCATCCCTTGGAGTCTTGAGCCCTAGCCATGTGATGTCACAATAAGAGAGGATATTTTGCTTCACTTCTAGTCTACTCTTTGTCCTTTTACAATAGCCTAGTATAAAATAAATTTTCTCTAGTTTTTCATTTAACACTATATGGTAATCTAAAATTTATGGAAAAAAGAAACCTCATTTTATGTAGTCTAGTCATTAACTGACAAATATAAAATTTTCTCAGTATGTACACAATAAACACATGACTTGGTTCCTAATGAATGGAGTACAACAAAGACAACAATTTCTAATTCATGATGAGCATGTGGGTTTTTCCTTCTTTGGTTTATAAAATAAAATTTAAAATATCTTTGCAAGATGAAGAAACTATACTTTTCAGAAGTATATTACATATAATACATTATATTATATATTAATATAATATATACATATAATATATATTATATATAAATATAATATCGCACATACAATTAAGACTGTCAACATAGCAGAGTTGGTTCTGTACCTGGTATTTGGAGACTTGTTATAACAGACCTTAAAGAAAATTTTGCTCTGGGTTAAGAGAAAGATTTGTATTACTAACTTCATGCAGACACAAGAAAAAAGATTAGGCTGTAGAATTTTAATGCTTCCTCTGAATTTACTAAGTTCTAAAGATCCACATTAAGTAGCTAAATGTGTTTAATTCACATGTGGCTATTGATTCTCTTTAGTTTAAGTGAGACAGAATTGTGTCTATTATGACTTATTTTGAAATTACTTTTTAGTGTTACACTTCTTCTAATAGTATAAAGAGAACAGATAGTTCTTGCTGCACCATGTTCGCCTGAGGTTCTAAGCCCTAACAAGCCACATATGTCAGTGGTTAAACCTATGATTTGACTAAGTAATGACACTGTGCTTTTCCCTTAAGCATGCTTTCTACAAACTCATATACTTGTGGTCAATGTATTTCTGACCCTCAGAGACCTATTACACGTAATATGCACTTCTGAATTCATTATATTTTCTTCCATTTTATTCTTACCAACAAGTACCTTTTTCTTTTTATTCTGAAGTCAAACAAATCAACACCAATAGATCAAACCTTGCCATCTCCTTTGAAAAGACTTGGTCAATTATGAAAAAAGTTTCATGCTGCCATTTTTAGTTTCCATTAATATATTTATATGTTTATTGGGAATTATGAGGAGAGCCAAACATATGTTTAATATTTGTTTACTACATTTGACATTTAAGGCCCATTATTTTATTTTATTTCAGCCTATGAAATATAACAGAAGTTAATGTGGAGGATTCTAAATGTTGGAAGTCTTCAAATACTAGATTTTTAAAACATAATTCTAAAAATAGACATGGCTTCCAAATAACAGAATTAATTATAAAGCTGAAGAACTGAAATGTTTTTGGAAAGAAATCAGAATAGATGAGGAACAATGTACCTGGGAAGACAGGTAAGGAAGCTATTTTTTTGCCTTTTGATTCATGAACCACATGATGTCCTAGTTTACATGAACCAAAAGGCCTGTGGTGGTGGCACTGTCCAATCTCAGAAGAGCTAACCATGAATGGTAGGCACTCAGTACACACTGTTTGTGACCCAGACAAGGTGTTGTCTGTTTTAATGATGATTCAGAGTATTAAATTGCATGAATTTCTGAAACAATTTATTATAGAACAGGAAATACTGCAGACATACAGGCTAAAGTAAATATTTGAAAAAGAAAGACATAATAAGAGGAAGCAGGTGACATTGATGGATACTTTTAAAAGAGCTGTCACATCATTTTCCCTGATTCTCTGCAGATGCTGGAGGAACTAATCTTGATGATCAGTAATTTCACTTCAGTGCTCTCTGCTGATTAACAAAGATTCTTGGTAAATAAAGTTTCTTCCTGGCTTTGTTTTTCATTAAATACAAGCTTTTTGCAACTTTCAAGGGAAAATATTAATATTGCAAATTTCTATTCATATGAAAGATTTACAGTGCAATTATATTTTTGCTTTTAACTTATAAACATTTAAGATTTATTTTTATTCTGTTTTGGTCTGGTATTTTAATATATTGAGTGAGTGACAGAATTAAATATATTCTTCAACTGATTTTATAATATATTTATAGGCAATGAAAAGTTGTTTAGAACAACTATATTAAAACTATATTACTATATTATTTTTACTACATATTATAAAGCCATGTTATGTAAATATATTAAATGCAACAATAGCTTATCTATTTTATTATTCATATATATATATATATAATCTCCTGCTTCAGATTTATAAAGATGTAAAAAATATCAAGTCTGAAATATCTTTCCTTTCAAATAAGGAAACATATTTATGAAAGTTTAATGATTTTCTCAATCATTACAGAACTCACCAGTATACTGAAGCCTGGAATATGGTTTTCTGCCTTTTTGAATCGTGGATGTTGGAGGTTGAACCCAGGGCCTCACACTTGCTATGTAAGTACTCCACCTCCAAGCTTTTCTGTTTGTAAGTGTTACGTTATTGTTTATAACTCACTACCTTGCTTTTAGGATGATTCTCTGGAGGATTTTGAACATTCTGAAACGCATTTGCATAGATCTAATGGATCTTAAGTTATACTTACATGTTCTGGCATTGAGTTTAGTTTCATAAAAATTGTTTTGTTTTGTTTTTTGGTACCGGGGATCGAACTCGGGTCCTTGTGCTTGCGCAGCAGGCAGCGAAACCACTGAGCTAAATCCCCGGCCCCAAGTAAAGATTTTTTTAATTTTTGGTACCGGGAATCGAACTTGGGTTCTTGTGCTTGGGAGGCAGATGGCGGAACCACTAAGCTAAATCCCTGGCACCCATAAAAATTGTTTTAAAGTCATAAAATGTTGGCTATTATTATACATGATGGTGGTTTCTGGGTATTCCAAGATTGGAATCAAAGCACATAAGACAAAGAGAAGAAAAAGGCACAAGGAGCCTCTCCAAAAACTTTTCTAAAGCAAAACAAAACCAAATAAACAAAAAATTCAAAGGAAGTGACTTGGAATACAAAAGAAAGTCATTAATAAAGAAAGAAGTACATCTTATATTTAATACCAAAGAAATGTTGCTGCATAATAATGAATAACCCAGCTAGAATGAAAAAAGACAGATGATTTCAGCATGAGTCTTGGCGTGGGTGACATAAAATAGGAGGCAAATAAAAACAAAATTTTGTCTTTATAGAATCTAGATATCAGTAAAGTTAAACTTTAAATATTGATATGTAACTGTATTTGTGTTAAATATTAGTATTAAAGGCAATAGGAAGAATAGAAAGAAAACGTATAATATCCAAATCACCAGGAGAAAACAAAGAAACAAGGGAAAAAATGGAGTACAACCATCAAAAATAAAAGGAGGGAAAGAAACAAACAGCCAAATATTTATAATGTCACTATAGGTGGTGCAAACTTAACATTATGTATACAAGCATTTAAGATTCCAATATCCAAATGGATTAGAATTTGTTTAAACAAGACAAGTTACAGAGGTAAGATATGATAAAGAAGTTAAACAAACTCAGCAATCATTATTGAAGTTTTAAGATGTCATTCCACATTTATGCAAATTTCTCAGTCATTTAAAAAAAATATTATATTTGTGTGTATATGTGTGTTTAAATGAACTACTTAAATATATTAGGATCGATTTTTTTAACATACACTAAATGTACATACAATGTTTTAATTTTTTTATTTGTTCATATTGAAATGCATCCCATTTGGTGCCATCCTGGAATAATAAACTCTAAATTTGTTGCAATAGTTGTTTCTGACAATGAACCAGGGGGAGTATGTGGATGGGTGGGGGCAAACTTTACTTCAGGAAATTTTGAATTAAAATGAAAAATTTTCATTCTTGCTCAGAATATACATAGCATTCACATGAATCTGTGGACTAACCATATTCTTTACAAAGCTTTTCTAAATATATAACAAGAGCTATGGCTGCCAAATAATTCTACATGAGAATTTAACAGTTTTCTTGTTTTAAAAATAGTAAAGAATCCCCCAGTGTTTAAATTCTAATTTTTACTCATGCTCATTAGATGAGACTTTAAACAACCCTTAGAAACAACCCTACTGTGTTTTCTTTCTCATTTAATTGGTACATTAGATATCAACCAATGCTTTAATGACAAAAAGGAATGTCAATAACAACTACTCTTTGAAGCCTCTCCTTATTCCTTTCTTGGAGTCCAAGCTCCAGGATCATTAGAGATAAAATCAGTTTGTGAACCATACATAGTATGGCTGAGATAACTACTCTTCAACAATATCCCATATATATCTTGTTCTGTGTCAGGAAAAACAGTTAGGATCCAGAAATATGTCCACCAAGCAAATGTAATCTACATTATGAGATGGATCTGACTGTAGCATATGTCTCTTGAAGAAATATCTTGAGGAAATAGCTCTTCAATAATGTAGACAATTGTTTTCATAGAATTCACGTAACTATAGGTCACATCCTTGCATTGAGTGTACTACTGGATTTACAAATACTAAAATATTAGCAGATTTAATGTCTATAAAAATATATTCTGATTTATGGCTTCATTAGTGAATTGAGTATATAATTGCTGTGGATAATTTGTTTCATAAGAACTTTCTAATTAACACACTGAACATACCTGTCTGTTTTTTTGAGCTTACCTCACTGGAGCTAAGAAATTTTTAAAAGTCCAATTAAAAACTTAAAATATGTAATTTTATTATTTTTAAAGAAAAATATACTATGATATAATTTGATGTTCTTAGAGTCAGTTATTGTTTTCCTGAATTTACAATTTGGCAAATTTTCAACAAGTTTTTTAATACACTGCTCAGTCATAAAATTGTGCTGTGAACAAACACACACATGCACATATATTTAGCTTCAATTTCACATACTGCTACAAAATAAAATGTTTTGATACTAAAATTATTAAGAATCTAGCTTCCAAAAAACTTTAGTCTTTAAATTCTGAAAGTCTAAATCTTGCAGTGTAAGGTAGGCCTGACATAGGGATAGTGAGGGAACAATACGCAAAGTCCAAAAGAAAGGAAAAATATTGTCAGCAATGTAATTGTTTTTTTTTTTGCTTTTGTGTACACACATAGGGCAACATTTAAAGATAAGTCTGTAGACAGAGTAAGATAGCAGGTCCTATTTTTCAGTTTTAAACAAAAAAAAAAACTTTACAACTATGTGAAATAATTATAAATTTAGTTTCTAGTGTGGTCAAGAATAATTCACTCTTAAGTGCTCTCAGCTATTTCTCTTGCCCTTATCCTCTTGCCCTTAACTGGTCACTCATCTGGAATGGGTGGTGTTTTTAAGTAGTGAAATGTTTCTTCCATGATACTAGTGGCCTCTAAAACCCATGTGAAATCTATATGTTTACTCTTGCCCAAAATGAATCACATCTGTTTTTTTTAAAATTGTGGCTAATTTAAAACATTCAAAAGAAAATGAGAACTAAAAATGGTTCATCTGGCTTAGCAGTGAATAAGGAAAGGATATGAAAGGATACACAATTTTGACATTATATTTGCAGATTTAGTGTCAGCAGAAATTACTAAAATGGCGACTGCGCCTGAGAGATATTACAGGAAAATCAAACAGAAGCCAAGTCTACAAAAAGTATAAAAAGGTCAGATCAGGGTCAGATCAAACTCTTCATCCCTAGGAAGAAAATAACTTGGTGGGTAACATTAAGGAAGAGAGAGGAAGCAGAGAGGCCAAAATGATCACTAGTTTATAATTCTGGGAAGAGTAGATAAGCTCCTGAACAAAAGGCAATAGCTGCAAACAGGAAAATTAGTGAATTATTGGAGAGACAATTTAAATTTAGAAACAAAAAGTCCTCATAATCCATCTGTTTTAGGAATAGATGAGAGAGAAAGCTGAGGGTGTGGTTTCTGATTGGTTAACTTAACGTTAGTGATAGTTTCAGGTTTTTTCAAATGAAGTATGGCAAAACTTTTATAAACTGTGATATAAATGAAAGCAGTAAGGCTGATTGAGGGAAGGAAGATAATAGACTAGGGTTTGAAATAGTTTAGGCTTGGTTATGAGTAAGACAACATTTGACACTCACAGAAACAGTTGATGGCGTAAGTCTAAAACTTAAGAAGGGGCCAAGGTTTGAGTCATAGGTCTACTGGGAGCTATTTGGGTAGTGTGAGTAAAATTAGTAAAGAAGGACTGTCAAATAGAAAATCAATCAATTTTAAATCACCCAGGAAAGCAGTTCCACTGAGCAACCATGACCTTTTCATACTAGCTGCAATTTTCAAAATTTAAGTGATACATATGAAAAAAGAAATTTCAAAAGACTCATTAAAGTAAAGTCTTTAAAAAAATCTACTCTGGTCTATTTTGGGGGATGAAATTAAAAGTGGTGTTTTATATTTGACTTTGGGTGATTATTTTTCCTTTGAGATGATGACAAGCATGTTATCAACATTTTTGCTTACATATTCAAGAACATGGATCATCTACTGGAAGATACTTCACAAATCAAAATTGGGCCACATGTTGATTCCTGAACAATCACTGGCAAGGGAGGATAGAATTACCCCTGAATAGTTACTTGGTTCCTGCAGGAAGAGTGATATTTAGCTCATGAAAATATTTAGCTTTGTATGTGTTGTGTATAGAGTCATATCTACCAGAAAAAAATCAGAATATTCTTGGAAAGAAGTAGATATAGTGAAAGAAATAATAGTGTCAATTAAGTTTCAACGACCTACTTAAGTAAATAACAACAATAAATGTTTGCATTTCAACTGTTTTTATTGGATATTATTCTAAAATGTATCCATTTTTTCTACTTGAGTGCATAAAATTTACACAGGATTTTGGTGTAAAGGCCATCATTTTGGATTAGCATGAATCATACTTACCAAAAATATACATGTGAAAAGTATGGAGGGTCAAACTTAGCGCAAACTTAAGGAGGAACAGTGGAAGACATTTCAATGAGTTTTATGATATATTTATATCATAATAATGTAAGATCACAAGGGAGATATGTCCCTTGCTGTGTGACTAACAGAAATGGCTGATCCCTAAAATGATACAAGACAGGGAGTAGGTTCTCAATAAATATCTGTAGAATGATAAATTAAGAAAAATTGTATATTATCTTAGTTGTGACATTGACTCTACTCTGAAAACAGAGAACTCTCTTTAAATATTTTATTTCTGATAATTATATATTTAATTTGTTTCACAATTACCTTTTGTGCTATTCTTTCTAAATGTAATTATGTGGGATATTTGTTTTTCAACTTCATCTGAATCTCAAAAATTATTCACGTTGGCTTCTTGTTTTTCTTCTTGGCTTTCAAATATCCTGGTATAATTTGTTTTGAGTAAGGAGAACTATGTTCTTTCTGATAGTCAACTTCCTTCAACTCTACTTCCTAGGAGAAGCCCATGGATTCATTGTGCT